TTTTTTTTTCCTCTTTGACATTTTTCTTTTTTGGGAGTGAACCCCAGAAAAAAAAAGCAAAAAGAAAAAAAAAGACCAGCCCTAGAAAACCTCCCTTGACGGGATAGGGGATTTATTCTTCTTCGACGACCTAAATTGTGGTTATCAGCCAGCTATCAGCAATTTTCTTCTTTTCGGTGATCCAACTCGCTCTATAACCAACTACATCATCATGTATTCGTGCGCCAATTATCCTCGCGGTTGCCGTGGCCGCGTTAATATCCAAGGAGGAAAATGCGCCGATTGTGTGGTATGTCATTCGCTTCCAGATCTCCTATTTTAGACTCTCCGATCAGCATCTGAGATTGATTAATTCTCATGCAAACCTCCGAAATGACGCTAACTCCTGGCTTCATCTAGCAACTGAAACTCCGTCGACCATCTACGTCCCCCTTTGCCCAGCCACGAGATTACCGCAGAGCGTTGCCTTCGGAGATCTTGAATGACTCCCCTTACAGGGCGATTGCTCGGGAACTGCTGTAAACCTGCGATACTGTTTCTAAACCGAGATGGCACGAAAGACCTCCAGGATTCCGACCGGATATCCAGGGTCCTGCAGGTTGGGACTGAGTCCCAGGGACCTTTCACGCCAGTCTCAATCACGGCACCTCTCTTTCCTTAACCTATTCAATTATGCTCTGACTTGATGCATTGTTGGGAGTTGATCGATCATCGGATTCTTATACCATATACAAGGGCGGCTTTCTCGATTTTACTGGACCGGCGGTTCAGCACTGCGATTATCATTATTCATCTGTCTTATTTTCTTTTGTGTATATGCGAGGCAAACTGGGTACGGCATGAGTGATTTCCCTAATCAGCTGCTGGGAATGGCGATTTGGAAATTTCCATACAGTCATACCCCGTGGGAATAGAGCGCACAGCCATGAATCTGCTGCTGGCTGGCGGGTGGTGGCGCAGATGGATATCTTTTTCTTCTCTCCTTTAATATCTGCTTTACTTTTCTGTTCAGATATTTCACTTTCTTGTGTCTTGTGATGTGTACTCATTTTTTTAATATTGGTCGATTCTCATACCCTTTCGACTGTACGATTTACTGACAATCATACATTTACTATTATTTTTTCTTATTATCTGACTGGATGTTTCGTGTTGTCATTTCATTTCGATGTTCTTGACCTTAGGGCTTACTGTAAAGGCTTCATGTCATGTGCCCGGTTAACTCAGCATCTCTTCACAGACCCAACGCGCCGTTTGCATGTGAAGACTCCAATATCGTTCATCTTCATTCCCACGGCTGCTGTCATCGTTCGGTTGTGATATCGATCTTCCCAGTGCCTCGAACACCGCCAATTGATCTCTTAAATACCTATCCACACAAGGGGGATGCCCCTCTCTATTCACGGGGGTAGAACCTTGCCGCAGGCGAGGATCATACAATTCCTCTAAGAATCCGTTTACACATCGCTCCGCCAAATCCTTCACCACCATTACCACTTCCTCCGGACCGTTCCGTTGCTTATGTCGCGCTCGTCGCGCACCGGGATCACAGTTGACACCAAAGAGCGCATCGTGCCCCACCCTGAACCCTGTCGATGTATGTGCTACAATAAGTATGTATACGTGCGAGTAATGATGTGTGACCTCAGTCGTATGAATGTTGACAGGAATATCGTTGCTGTCACTCTCTGTGTGAGGATGCCAGACAGCGGCACTGGGGGTGAAAATGCACGACGGTAATTTCCTCAACCCCTTGCGGAGGCCCCGGAAGATTTCGTTTTCGACAAATTGACGAATTGTTCGAGTGACATTCGGTGAATCATCGTTGTCTCCTTCAGCCCTTGGCATATATCTCCGAAATTGCGTCCCACCAGGTCTTTGATTTCTTCCATTGCTGTGGACGCCTCTCTCTGTGCTCCTAGGGAACGGGTCGTCGGGGGCTAAAATGGTAATTTCAACCTGACTGATTGTCCCACGCTGATATTGAGAAAGGTCTATGGGCGGAAACCGAGGGCTCGACCCGGCTCTATTGCCATCTTCGCACAGCGTGAGCGGATCCGCAACAAGTGTCACCTTTCCCAAGCTAAAAGGGCCCGTCCCCCATCCCCGTTTGATTAGCTGCACAGAAAGGCGAGGCAATCCCACTCTGGCGAAATTAGGCACTAAAACCTGCGCCACGTAATCGTATGACGGCGAGAACGACACATTGGTCCCACCGACAATGGATAGAGTAATCTGGCGCTCGGGGATGGAAGAATTGGCTCCCGCGTGCAGCATATATGGATACAGTGCTTGGAACACTAGAAACACCGAACCTGCTGTTTTGAGAGCAATGTTGATATGTGATTCGATCGCTCCTCCCCGCTCATGGTCTCGATCTCTTGGCATCTGGACTACTCGAGGGGAGAAGCTCAACGATGTCGATCCTAGCTCTGCACCCACAACCGAGCTTCTGCTCACACATGCGAGGTATGTGATCGCGGCGAGATGTGAGCCTTTGAGCCCTTGCTTCCCTGATCGGTTGCCTCGAATATGGTCAATTTTGACGGGCCGGCCTGTCAACGCCGAGAGGGCGACGGCAATTCGCACCAGTTGGCCCCCTCCTTCGAGAGTCCTTCCATCCAGATGGATGGCTTGCGCTCTAGGATTCGTGCCATCCAACTGATCCATAATGGTGTGGCCTCAATTCTGACTGGCCCCCGTGCTGTGTGACGTCGAATAGAACAAAAAGACTCTGCTGCGTATGGGTGCTGGAACATCGAGTGCTATATTTAATAAACATCCAAAGGCGCGTGCCTAGGGTCTCCATTGTGTGGGATTTGTACTACTGACTCTTCGTATCGGAATGTGTCAGTGTGACATGGTCTGTACGAGCGGAGGAGAGCCATGACTCACAGCCACAGCCAGTCTTCGCCGATCACCATCTCGGACCTGAACTCCCGACTAGATTCAATTTTACACAATAATTAATATAACCAATATAACCAAAATAGGCAATCTCAGGTTGGATCCATAGATCCCGACTAAATTTATCTGTTAACACAACTTCCACCCTTGCCTCAGATTAGGAAGCGGCGTGAATGGTCAAGGCGTTGCAAGAACGACATGCAGCCTCTCATCGCACTTTCCTCGGATCCTAGTGGCCATGGGTTCTTCACCATGGATATCTCTCGTCCACCACAAAAGGGGTTTCGAGACTGCACTTTATCCGTCCGGGCAGTATCTATCCTCAACGTACCACTTTCATCGTTCTGTATCCGTACTTACGTGCTTTTGCTGTCATGTGCCCCAAAATGTCTCTCAGTGCGAGTGATCGTCTGAGGCGATCTAGATCAACTCGCTCCATCAGAAGGAGCCACCAAATGTCGGTATCCAATGAGCCATTTGATCCAGAAATCGCCAAACAACACGCAACCGTTGCGGCATCCCTGGCCATGCGGCGATCTACAGAGCGGTCATCTACGGACTCTCAACGCTCTTACGATCGCTTAGGTGGGCCTGGTAGCATGGCGGTGCCGCAGAGAAGAAACAGACCAAGCGGCGACACTGAAATCTCTGACACTGTTTTGACTGCTACTCTAACACAGTCCAGGAGTGACTCGGAAGAAAATAACAATTCTCAGCTTTCGCCTGCAGCGTTACCGCCAATTCGTGAATTCGGCGGTCTAGATGGTCGCAATTCTTCCTTACCTTCTTCATACCGCCGGCTGCGCAAGTCACGGTCAATGTTTGCAGGCGGACAACGTTATTCTCGCATGTCTTCTGGAGCACATTCTCGATTGTATGACTATGTGACTCTTGACAAAGCACAAGTACCCGAGGTGCCAAATCCAGGCGGGGCCTTAAAACGCTCACTTTCCTTCCTCCGGGGTAGCCATCCAACTGTCAATGCAACCCACCATATGAGGAGTCATGAGGCAGCAATTCAGCTAGCCCGTAGCCAGTTCCTGCAAAGCTCGGTGGATAGCACCGACCAGTGCAGAGCATCCTCCATCCACAGGCCCAAACGAGAGCATAAGCCATTCAGAAAAACCTTTCGAAGTAATAGCGGCGATAGCGCTTCCGGCATGGATGCATCTAGTACCCAATCTTCGGTGGACTCCTCTAGACATGCCATGTCCCAAGACAAAACGCGCTCATTATCTTCATCCATTAAGCGGGGTATCAAAAAGGTCCTCGGGCTATCAAAGCCTGTTGCAGATACTAGCCTAGTACAGGCGCCACCCGTTGGCCAGGCACAGAGCCAGGTGCTTTCGACAACATCCAAGGATGACAATTATCCAGCTGGGAATGATCGGAATTTGATTTGTGCCGATAGGCTCACTGGTTCTGATCGTTCTCAGATAGTCCGAAGTATCCGTAGTTCCGAGAGTCTTGCAACCAGCCGCTCGCGTGTTACTAGCTGGGCTGATTCAACCGTAGCAAATACTATCGTGACGCGCAAAACAGGCGAACAGAGCCATCTGTGTATCATTGATGAACAAGGTGATTTGGGACCAAATCCTTCATTACTCACCCCAAGCAACTCTCCTACACAGGATTTTTCATCCACTTCGGAACCAGCCATGCTGGAGCATTCCATTGATAGCCAACGCCTGTATGCTGCACTGATGAAGCGGATCGGGCAGAACCATGCACAGCATACCGAAGAAGAAATCTTCCTAGGACAAGTCCGAGAACATCGTGCTATTCCGACACGGGCATCTTCCCTATATCCTCGCAGTAGCAGGCAGACAATTCGTCGGGTTCCCAGCAATGAATCGTTTACGACCCCAAGGTCATATGCAACAGCCCCTGGTGGCACAGTAACTCCCCAGAAACGCTTGACAATGCTCGGGAGTCAAAGTGCCCTAGATGGCGATACTCGAAGCATAAACGTTATTGAGTCTCCAACCTTGGATATATCTAATTCTCCTAGCATTTACTCACGGACCACCAGTGGCAATTCCCCGTCCACCAAACAGCATAGTGATAAGCCGCGCTCGTCTGGGTCGGTAGATGAACTAGGAGTAGCTACAATCTTCGAAAGCCAGCGGTCAGCATACAGATCCCCTAAGCGGACCCCTGGTCTCCCGGAATCCCAAATTCAACCACAGCCAAGTGCCGACTGGCAGCAATGGATGCAGTCCCAAATGGCGAGGATCGAAAACCTCACACCGACAAAGAAGCATTATAAAGAAGACGCGCAAATCTATGACGATGAGGCTAACATGCCACGGCAGTGTTTATCCCGAGGGTTGGGGGGTGACAATGACACCTCGACGAGTCGCCAGAATGATTCAGATCAAGATCACCTTTTTGCGAGTAGAGAACCAATAACAACTTGCAAGATTTGGACTAGAAGTAATTTCTCTAGGCCGTTTAGTCGGTCTCCAAGTGTACGCACGGTGGTGACAGCCTCAAAAGAGCAAGGACTGGCTACTGCTCCCCTGTTTTCGATCCATACATCAGGACCCCCTAGCAGTGATGGATCGTCTTTTACTGTTGGTCGAATCCGCACACGGCTTGACCAGCATGCATCGTTACCCATGCAGTCAAGGCCAATCAACAGGCCCTGGATGCCAGAATCTCCCACACCTAAAAGAGAAGCTAGAGAACTGTCACGGCGATTGGCCCTGAGTGGTAAGTACGGTGAATCCTCTGTCAAATGGCCCCAAGCCCAAGATACAGGGCCCGTGCCTTTTCGACTTAGCCGTCATCGTGATAGCACCAGATTTAACAATGAGAACATACGAGCTGATACCCGACATGGCAACGTCAACGAGCGATGCCCATTGTCTCAAGGCACCTACTCACCCATGTCGAGCAAACGCATGGTGGAACTGTTTCTTAACAGTCGACGTCGACAAATGGGCATGGAGATGTCAGACGATAGTGCTCCGGATGGAGCCTTTCTGTAGAGAGGCATCGTTCAAGGACGGAAGATGTTGACTGTGGTAGCTTTACTCGTATGGCTTTCCATCCCTTGAGCTGTTCTGGGAGATGCACCTAGCATGAAGATGTTATTCCTGTAGTTATTAGAATGTCGCGAGTACATCCACTGTTAGTAGTTAGCTTATATCTCTAATGAGAGATCTGATCTTTCAAGGTGCGGCCCGATTGATGAGAAAGGGTATGTTCTTGACTACCATACCATCATTCGTCTCGTGTCTCATTATGAGGCTAGATTCCCAATATACTTCGAGTACCTATCTATCCTTTTACAACTACACAGCCAGCCGAAGATAATTACAAACCAAGAGCAATTACTCTAAATCCCTATTCAAATAATACAATCCCAATTCGATTTTATTTTTATCTTCTAAATTCCGGATATATTAATGAAAGAAAAAGATTCTCACTCCACATAATTAGCCGGGAAACTCCCCTTAACCCCCCGAAGCTCTCCCTCCCACCAATCATCCGTACTGTCCGTCTTCTTCAGAACCCGAATCCGATCTCCCTCCCGAAAGGCCAGATCGCCGGCACTCTGCCCACCGAAATCATACAGAGCCGTCACGAACAACCCCTGATTGGAACCGACCCGTTTCGGAGGTGGCGGTGGGGGCTTCTTCTTCGCGGCCGCGAGCACGCCATATCCCGGTGACGTGGCTGCGCTGTCGGACGGATGCTGATTTCTGCTGAAGTAGTCTGTTCGGGCCGAGACGTAGGATTCAGCTGGGGAGGAAGCTGAGGCCGAAGCGGGGGTTTGTGGGGAGAGATGGGTTGTCGGGACGGTGAGAGTTGAGGATGGGGATGAGGCGAGACTGTTGAGACGGGGTTTGGTTTCCATTACCGGGGTTGGTTTTGTGTCGTGCACAGATGGGGCGGAGAGTCTGCGGCCTGGGGAGGCTGGGGGTTGGAGGCTTGGTGTAGAAGTAGATGTAGATGTAGGACCGGCGGTGGAGGCGTTGCTGCTTGAGGGCCGACGGAAGTTGAGACCGTTTGGTAGACGGCTGCTGTGTCCGTTCCGTTGGTCGTCGGGTGATCCTGGGGATAGACGCACTGCCTTTCCGTTGGCGATACAACCTAGGGATTCAACTTTTTGTTGTGTAGGGTGGAGGGCCTGTTCCCAGTCGTGGACTATTTGTTCCATTGGTGGGGAGGGTGAGGGGAAGTGCTCCTGTTCGCAGTAGTTCTGGACCACTGTGTAGTAATGTGCTAGCATGGTGTTTTGGATCTCGATTTGCGCAGCTAGGAGTCTGGGGAGCAGTGAGAATGCGGCGGTTATAACTGGTGGTAGGCATTTTCGGACGTGGTCGTCTGCGGCTTGGTATTCCTGTGTTTTGGGTTAGTATGTGATGTGTATTTACTTGGAAAGTAGTTGGTCATCGTCTGTATGTACCTCTGTTGCTCTTGCGAGATCGCTTTCAGCTTTGGTCAGCGATGAGTTGTCTCGGTCCGATCGCTTCGTCTTTTTCGAGTAGCTATCTACGCGACTTTGGTAACGCTCATAGTCTAACTGTGAGGATATTAGTTGAAGCTACGTCGGAGTGGACGAGATATATGCCTACCTTGCGGTCATCCCGCTTTTTGATTGTCTTTTCCAACGGCTTCATGTAGTCCATAGCCTGCGTGGCGGGCTTAATGATACGCTCGTTGATGGCCTCGAGCTCCTGAAGGAGTTCGCTCCGTAGCTCTTCATATTCTTGAGCTAGGTTAGCGGTTCGGGCCAATGTTTCCCTGGGCGTTTGGACGGCCTTGTCGGTTGTGGAGGAGTCGGAGGAAGCAATGATGGGCGCATATAATCCTTCTAATTCACTGAGAATGCGCGCCTGGTAACTGAGTAAAGAAGACCAAGCATCTCGCCAGGCTTTAGTAGAATCGACAATCTGTCGATCGAGTGGTTAGCAGCGACACAATATGCGATTGGGTTGCAATTGGTGGAGTAGTTAACAGATCAAGCTTACTCGGCCTAATAATTTATTTGCTTCATCGAAATCTTTCAGGAGAATGGCCACCTGACTGTCGTCGGCGGATCTTTTCATCAATTTACCAAAATGTCTTTGTACGGATTGCATTGTGTTTTTGCCGGGTTGCTTGAATGCGGGGATGAGGAACAAAGGACAACAGAGTGAGTCTTGATCAGATTGCGGGCAAGGGGAGGAGAGATCCGATCAATATATGTACAATATAGGGTCCGTGGAACACAAGTGGAAGGCAGTAAAAATAGAAAAGAAGGGAAAGGGGGAAAAGAGAGGGAGAGAGAGGGAGAGAGAGAGGAAGAGTCAAAGGGTGTCAGCAAAGGGAAAAAAAAGAAGCGTGCAGGTAGGCGATGACGCAGCCACCATCTGATCGTCGTTTCATTTCACAGAATGACTGACTGACATTTGAATACTGGAGATGAACCCTGTAAGGCCAATGAATGGAGTAGTCGGTCTGTAGATCATTCCTCCCAATCATTGTTCTTCGTTGCTTAACGTCTTAGACCCTGGGTCTGTGCGGACACTGTACGATCAGTCGATTTATATCATTCAATTGAATCCCGTTGGGTTCCTGAGCCCTTCGGTACCTCTCGTACCATGGTCTTTCCTTCGACTGGTCTCCTGTACGATGGAGTACCAGTGGAACCAGAGTCAAGTCCTGTAACGTAACTCCCTTCAGGCTGGAACTGGAGACTGCCAAGAGGACCACCGGCTATAAATAAAACATCTGGACTTGGACGAGGAAGCCGTGTCATTCTTCCAGGAAGAAGGGAAAGAGAAAGATATCTTCATCACCATTTCAATGTCTGTCTCTAGAGTAGGGCAAAAGTAGTGTAGTTCAGGTGAGTACCTGTAGGTGTAAACTATCGGCATGCAATAATACCATACGCGTATGGTCGATACCAGAGTCTAGAACTCCCCCGCGACTCTCAGGCACCAGAGAGGTGTTTCCGCCTGAGGCCAGCCACGACCGCCTTTCTCACTGTTTGTACGGCCAAGCAAATAAATCTCTCTTTCTATCAACGTAACGAAGTGCCTACAATCACGTCGACCCCTGCCTCGTCCCCGCCCAGCGACCAGATGGTGCTCAGCCAGAGGGTCGCCAACCATTGGCCCTCTTCCCTTCGACCATGTCGACGCCCTTATCCTCTGCCCCGCGTGCTACCCCAGGCATGAGCGTCCCGGCATCCCAGAACACCGCGCCCGTCATCAAGTTTCGATGTCTCTACACCCACGATATGCGCCGCAAAGCCAAACGCTGGCAAGATGGCTACCTCAGATACCACACGTTCAATAAACGCATTATGGCCTACGATATTACGGGAAATTTTATTGGCGACCTACACTGGCGACAGGGTGACGCGATCCAGGATGGGGACGAGCTGGAACTGGATAGAGGCGTGTTGATTCAAGTCTGCGAGCCAATGGAGAAGACGGAGACCGATATTTCCGGTCTCTACGGCAATAAGAAAAGTCAGGGATCACCATCACGGCCGGAAGAACCACCGACGCCGTCTTTGCGCACGTCCACTCCTTTACGACCCTCAACCGGCTCTCAGTCGTCTCGCTCCCTCAATGATCTGTTGGGGATCAAGAAGACACCTACCGGACGTTTTGTCTCTCCGTATGAAGAAAGACATCCGTCGCAGCAGAGTAAAGATCATGCACAACCACCTGAAAGAGCTGTAAAGAGACAAAGGCTTGCACCGGAGAACGTACCACGTGCGCATGGTTCAGGCCGGGCCCAACCCGTAACGATTGATTTATCGGAGGAGCCTCCTGCAGTCAGGCCAACAGCTACAGCTGCAGATATTGAGTCACCAGTGCAACCCAAGAAGATTCCAAGCTCAGTGAAAGCTCCAGCCACAGTATCGCGGTCGGACAAAACACCGAGTAGTAGAGCTCAGCCCATTAGTACTGAAACCCAGAACCCCGTCAACAATGCTCCTCCACCTGCCAAGAAGTCCTCGACAATTCGTGTGGATGCTCCAGTCAACACTCTTAGGTTGTCCACGGAGCGTCCGAGGAGAAAATTGATGTATAGCGCCTTATTACCTGGGCAAACAACCGCGAAAGTATCCATGCCCTCCCCCTTGTCAGAGAAGACAAACGCGCCCGTGCGAGAGAACCCGCAGTCAGTACGTCCCTCATCTTTCTATCAGCACTATGGACTGACGACTCCAGGGAAATCAACCTGACAAGCCCCGATCCTGTGCCAACGAACCCTGATTTTATACCCTCTGCTTCAACGCTTGCTGCGTTGGATGAGATGCCAAGTGAATCCGCACGTGGCCCGGACAGGACCGCGGCAAGTCATGGCATACAAGGTACTCTACCAAAGTCCGGTTCGACTAGCCTTCGCAAGTCATACTCGGATCCCACTGCTTTAACAACCGCAACCAGTGTCCGACCGCGATCACTGCCTTTTAAGAGCCCGCTCAATCGTTGTATAGAGGAAGAGGAACCCCGCGAGCAAGGACCCTGGACTTCCGAGGCACTAGACCTTTTCGACTTTTGGCCGCCTGGGCGAGCGAAACCTACTTGATTTACGTTTATGATACCCTTCAGATTGTGTATACCATTGAGACCATCACAGATTTTCTCATATTACTATGCGTATGAAACCAGTGTCGTGAGATAACTCGCCTATGGCTTTTACGAGGAGTTACTATATTTTTGATACCCTAAATTTGACCTGTAAACAGCGGTCCTGTGAGTTACTGCATCCAGTTAGTTTTTTCGTTTTGGGCTTGATTGCAACGGCATAACATATTCGACTGGGTGAGCAGGGACCGGAGAGACCGACGATACCGACACATGGGTGCCGCGGTATTGGCGACCAGGCAACCGAGAGCCATTATGTGACTGTCGGCCGTCACACTTTTCCATTCTTTCTCCCATCCAGCGTGGATTCCTTGCCTGTTGCCTGATGTGTGTCCTACCCCTCCAATGCAGATGTCATACAAACCCAGTTCTCTGAACCAGAAAAATGTTTCAAGTGCTGTAAAGAGACATACTAGACCTAACTAATATAGCAGAGATTCCTGGGGAGCGCGTAGCTTTACTAGTTCAAGATTATCTAGGACAGCCTCTCTAAGGTTTCTTGACCTTTCTCGTCCAGATTTGGGAACTATCTTAGATTACATATATCCGTCCAGAATGCCTTGGCAATTTCGTACGCCTCGCCATGTACGCCTAAGCGCCCCCGGAGTAACTTTTTCCATTCGATATCCAAATCCAAAAGAGGCCGAAACATACTCATACCAAATAGGAAAGAAGGCAGCGTATTCCCAGTCAAGTATACTGACAACCTTTCCGTCTTGGACCATAATATTTCCCACATTGAGATCGCAATGAGTAAGCACATAGGTTTCGCACTTCGGTAGATGCTGCTTCAAGTTCTCCAAAGTTTGTTGAGAGATAGCGAAGCTTAGGGGCTAGAGCATCCCAGAGCTCTTGGTCAGAGTGAAACGGTCCACAGGGCTCAGGATCGAAAATTAATAAGCCTGGATAGCATGGGCTTTGATCGACAATGAGTATAGGTTGATTTAATGGATCGAAGCTGCTTTCGCACTTTCACTACTTGATCCGCGACATCTATTTTTTGTGGTTCTGACAAAAAAGTCCATCGAGCGTCTGACCAGCCATGCGTTTGTTCAAAACGAAGTACCGTCCATCTCGATCGACCCAGTCACGTTAAACCTTCGGGCCGGGAATGTTGGTATGGGTCGCTAAATAGGTTAATGTTTTGCCTTCAACTTTTGCTTTTGGACCCTCGTCGGCCCGGTCTTTCAGAATTACATCTGACCCGATGGACCACACACCCCGTGTAGATGCGCCGTAAAAGAGTTTGAAGTGGCTTGTATAATGGCACCGCTTTTCTTTGTCAAGTGTCCACCCGCATGTGATACAACTTTTCTGGAGCGGTTCACCTATTGTGGTCCGATTATATAGTATTGGATGAGTAGTGTCAATAGAACTGCCCATCCAGCCCATAAAGAGGAATATGGGCAATAGTTGCTCGACACAATGTAGCATGAAACATAACTTCCACTAGTCGTGACTAGCTTAGCATTTGGAACAACAAACATGCTATGTTGTACTACCGCGTGGTATTTAAAAATACTAAACCAATGATCTGCGCCACGTCATGTGTCCAGGCACGGGAGTTCCGTCTGTACATCATGGATGCTTCAACCTGGCGTCTCTTCAGCCCCAAAAAAGTACAAAAGAACAAGGCCCTCTTAAGACGATACATTTCCACGACCACCATCTCCGACCATGGCGAATGCAATGCGCTAGGTGAAACACCCCCAGTCTTCAAAATCGACCTCTCTCTCCCTCCATCACAAAGATACGTACACGTCGCAAGACAATACCACAACCACCTAGTTCCATAACAGGTCTCTTCGACCAACTCATCACCGATGCCCTCCCCAAATCCCTCTTACCATGGATCAAAAGACTATCACGTCTATTTCTGCGCCGCCTATACACCCACGAAGAAACAGAAGAAATCAAAGGCATCAGCCGCGTCACGGGAATAGAACTATACCTATTAGTCTCATTCAACGTGCTGCTGGACTTACTAATGGGCTGCACAAGCGGAGCAGCACTAACAAAACTCGACAACCCCGCAGGGGAGCAATTGCAACCTCGACTTCTCCATTTCCGGACCCTAGACTGGGGTATGGACGAGCTCCGACAGTTGCTCGTCTGCTTTGAATACGTCCGTGGACCTGATTACGATACCGTCCTGGCGACTAATATCACCTACATCGGCTTTGTGGGCGTCTTGACCGGTGTCAGGAGAGGACTTAGTGTTTCACTGAATTTTAGGCCGAACCATGACACGAGCAGTTGGCTGCGTAACTATCGCTATTATGGAAGTCATTTACTTGTGCTTTTCGGGATGCGACGGTCTATATCGTCTATGCTGAGGAGACATATCCTTCCTCCGGATGGGTTGTCTCCCCTGCCAGCTCTCGACAAGGTCTGGCCGACGGTAATCGGAACACCGTCTACCGCTGCATATCTGATCTTTTGCGATGGGGTCGATGCAGTGGTCCTGGAAAAGGACCACCGGACAGCTCACGTAGAACGACAATCCTCTTTCATCGTTGCAACAAACAGTGACCATGACACTCCCTCGGCGACGGAAAACGGACACCAAGGCGACCATGCCGGTGCAGCCCTAGGGACAGGGGTAGCTGTCTCGGTCGGGGACCTCATCGAAGACAGCGAAGAGCGGAGGAAGTTCATGCAAGCGCACTGGGACAAGAAAGTCAGGCAGGCGAGGAAAGTCGCTTCAAGCCTAGAATGCACATACTCAACTGCCCGCCAAGATCCTATGAGACGCACTCGCGCGTCTCAGAGACGGGGAGGCGAATCGTCACTTGAAATTATTCCGAATGGGTCCTCTTTACCTATTCCTAGCTCGGGTACGTTGGTGGACTCCCAAGTCACAGCTACGCTTAAGGAAGTTATTAAATGGACGACAACATACCCGACTACTAATGAGATGACCCATTTCGCGGCGGTGATGGATCCCACCGAGGGAAAGGTTGTCTGGATTAGGCGGTACTTGGAACCATTAGCATTCGATACACACTATTAAATTTTGGTTTCAGATACTAGATAGGGCATCCTTGATAACTACAACCACAACTGCTATAGGCAAGACATGTGGTCCAGGAGAAATGCACTTCATATAGATGAGATGCGCCAAATGTAGCGGGTAAAAGCAGCCAGCGATGGCGGCAGGACGGCGGTGCAATGCGAGCCGTTTCCAGCCGCCCCACTATCCGTCACAACAGATACAAACAAAGCGCCCACCCCCCCAATTCAACTTCAACCCACTTCAACCTGTGTCAGGTTCCTGCTTCTTTCAGGACCTATATACAGAACCTAGTCTTGTCTATAGGATGTCAAGAGAATCCGATCCTGAGGCCATCTGCCTCCCAACTGTCGCTGAGATTGAGGCCGCGACGGAAGTCCTAAGCACGCCAGATACATCCGCCAAAGTCGTCCGGGTAAACAAGCATTTCGCAGTAAAAATGGGTAACGGTGTACCTCTAATCGAGGCTGAGAATATGAAGTTTCTCGCAGCAAATAGCAAAGTTCCAGTCCCAAAAGTCTACGCAGCCTTCAGGGACCCCGGCACCAAGAAGACATATATTATTATGCAATATCTCCATGGCGATACTCTTCAAAAACTATTGCCATCCCTTACCCAGGCTGAAAAGGCTGCAATATGCAACTCGATTAAAAATGCGATAACAGAACTACGGAGTATACCGCCACCAGGTTACTTCGGGATGTTAAATCGCCAGCCTTATCTTGACGGGGTGTTCTGGACTAAAGCTTTAGATCCTAAAATCTCAGGTCCCTTCGAAAATCAGGAAGATATGAATCTTGCTATTCTCAGGAGACTTCGCCAGACAGAATCAGATCAATATATCCAATTATTACGGACTATGGTTAACCGGACATTGAAATGCCATCGCACTGTTTTTACCCACGGTGATCTTCAGCCGAAGAATATTATGGTTGAAAGGCTTGGAGATCGTGACGGATGCCCGGAATTTAGGGTCACTCTATTAGACTGGGAAAGCGCTGGATGGTACCCGGAGTTCTGGGATTTCTGCAACGCTACAATCGCCTGTAGATTCAAACCCGACTGGCTTGAACTTGTACCTGATATACTGGACCAATATCCGATTGAATTTCTTATGATGCAGGTGGTGTATGCTTCTGTGTTCTACTAGGTAGAGAAGTACAAAGTGGATAGAAACATATTCAGAGATAAGCTATATGTTCGAAAAGCAGATGCGTCTCTGGGACCCTAAAAAGCAAGGAAATCTCTAGTCCAGGTGATCAACAAAGGCTAAGGTTTTATTAGCTCACGCGATTTCTTGAAGGGAAGGCAACGAACGAGCATACCACGTCAAGGCCCTAAAATACCCCTTTGAAACGCCAACTTGATGACATTGTCGAGCCAGTGGTTGCATCGGTAAAGAGGTTTAGAAGGGTCCTTTCGTTTACCACCAAGCATAACCTGAGGCCCTGGCGGGGCGATTACGTTGCAGCACCCCCGTTTCGAATCTTGTCAAATCTCCAGTCGCGACTGTTCCGATCTTCTTCATGGACAATTCAGCTCTCAATATCTTAGGGGCCATTATCATTCCCGGCAGATGTGGTAGTTCAGCCTCATCAACATGGGCAGCTGGAATAGCATGATCTGCGTCTACTGGTATATTAGGGGAGAGGTGAATGCAGTCACATGTTGAATGACCAACCGGGGCAACCTTATGGAAAATAAGCCAACTCAAATTGTCAGGATGAACCCCTGGAAATCTGACTCCCGAAATCCAGGCCCATGTCAGGGAGGGTGGCTGCAACACCATCAGATACAGACAGATTAAAACGGCGACGGCGACGATCAGTGCCTTCCTTCATGATCAGCCCTAGCTGTGGAGAAAGCATGATATCATTGGCGTGGAGCGATTCCGTATAGCTTCCTCAGCAAAAAGGTATCTGTACGTAAGGAGACGGCCGATGAGTATAGTAGGTAGGAAGCATTATTGCTGTAATCAGGTGTGGCCTGCTGTCCACACGGTCGACAGGATATCGGGTATAGCCAGTAAATCATAGTTACATAGTTAATTAATTGCTAGCTATTAACCCTACTAGTAATCCATTCCCCCACGGAAGTTCACCTATTGGAAGCAAAGCCCAAATGAAGCAAGTGTACTTACAACGAATCCAGCCGAGTGATTTTGACGAAGATGTCGTCCTGCATAAGTGCATGCATTAGTGTCTTGTTAGACCCCGTGTTCCAACCAAAAAGAAAAAAAAAAGAAAACAGTACTAACCATCATATCATTGGAATCACCGCTAATGGTAGCTTTTGTCCTGTCGGCGTTGGCCCCACACCAAAAGCGGCCTGTCGCGCCATTTTCGATCTGGGCAGCGACCTGGCTGCTGTAGTCCATCAAGGGCATTCGCTCGACGCCGTCCTGGCCCTGTGCCCGTGCCGCAATTGTCTCTTCAATTGGTTTGTACAGAGAATTATCGGGTAACTTAAAATCTCCAAAATAGGTCTGCCCTTGAGTGCGAACCGCACCAGTCGGGATGCATAGAACCTTGACATGAAATGGGATCAACTCCAGCCGAAGTGTGTCAGCCATGAGCTCCAGTGCTCGTTTCGAGCCGGCATATGTTCCTATATCCGACGATCAACCTTAATGAACCTTGATTCATACATGCTAAGGAATAAAAAACAAAAAAGAAACAAGGCAAGAAAAGAAGAGAAAAGAAAAGAACGATGTACCCATGAATGGGACGTTCAGATAGCCAGAGATCGACGTGATGAAAGCGATTGAGCCTTGCGTTTTGATCAATAATGGGGCAAAGGCCTTGGTCACTCGCAATGGCCCCCAAACATTGATATCATAGAGGGCCTTGACTTGCTCCACGTCTTCGTCCAAGTAAGGCATGAAGTGATTGCGACCGGCGTTATTGACTAAGACGTTTAGGCTCCGCCTGTCTGAGCCTCAACCGCAGCTACGGCCGCTTCAACCTGGCTTGGCTCGGTCACGTCTAGCGGTAACAAGGTGACATTCGACACGCCACTCAGCTTGGTCATCTTGTCGAGATTTCGGGCAGTCGCGAAGACCTGATAGCCTTGCTTTTGGAAAGTGAGTGCCAGACCAGAGCCGATTCCATCATCGCTACATCCGGTAATCAAAACCGATTTGGCGGCCATGTTTGCGGGTTATTGGAATGACAGGATATTTGTTTTTGTTGGTTGTATGCTTTTGCGATATTGAGGGAGGTTGGGAGAAAGAAGAAGAAGGAGGAGGAGGAGGAGGAGGAGGAGGAAGAGGAGGAGGAAGAGAACAAATTTCGCGCATTTGAAATTGGCCACTCTAGTACGTTGATGCGGATGCTTGAATCGTCCCGTCGCAGGACCCTGTGCTCAAAGACCTCTTGGGGGCCGTTTTATCTTGATCCTTGCTGATCACGGACAGCCGACTGGTTGGCTAACAGGGACAGGGCGTGCTAAGCCTGGTGGCACGGCTGCTTATTACTTGCTACAGCGTACTACTAGTACTTAGTAGTAGCGTAGACCCCGCACAGTGACCCGGGGGACCGATCTTCTGGTCCGGTCTTTCCAGGAGGGCTCGGCTCGTCCCAAGGAGTGGAAATGTAGAGGGCATGATCTGACGGACCTTTCTCCTGGGCAACCACACATTTTCGACACGAGATAACGACCAAGAGGGCTGCAGGCAATGATGCGGCCAAAAGTTTAGGCAACAAAGAACTCCTCCAAGCCCCCACGCTAGTCTGGAGGCTTAGTGTGACTGGCCCTATGACAATGTGATGGAATATGAGCTTGTCCTAGCCTCCGGCGAGATTGTCACCGTGAATCAGCAGACATACCCGGAACTTTTTCTGACGCTAAAAGATGGTTCCAACAACTTCGGAATTGCTACCTCTTTCACCATGAAAACATACCCCCTAGGGGAGTTTTGGGGTGGTGTTATTGGGAATGAATCTACGGCTATACTGCAGCACTGCTGGGGTATCCGTCATCAGCAATGAATTAGCATACACTGAGACTGTGACATACCCCACGAACGATCTTCGAATTGACACCATGGCCTGATTCGCCAATGAAACGGACAGTTACCAGTCTTATAATCAGCGGTTAATACTCCGTCTACTCTCTGCCAAGACATTGGGAGTTTAAATTGACCTCTACCTGAGTAGACAAATTTGCCCACAGCCTAAAAGTCTACTCTACCATATATTCTCTTTGGAACAGGGGTGTCTACCGCCCTTTTAAAGATTTGGACTACGCGGATGGCTTACAGGCTGTTACTGCCGGTATATTTCTACACGAAATCGGTACCAGTATTAAGAAGTACCTGCAATAGTAGAGGAACTCCTGAGTTAACTTAGAGTCTCAGTCTAAGACAATATATTACTATTAATATAATAATATGCTATTTAAGAAAAGAATCAAAGCCCTGGTTAGGACTATGTTTATAGATATACTAATACTGTCTTATACAGAGTTTTAGTTTGGTAAAGAGTCCCCCTCAACTAGACTTAAACCAGGCAAATACAGAGATAAATATAACAGTAGTACTTCTGTTCATATATACAATTTACTCTAACCACTCAGAGTAGTAAAAGAAGGTGTTATCTATTATCAGAAATAGATTTTTAACCAGTAGCCACTCAGGATAACATTAGTGAGTCCTGGTATCGCACAGCAATACTCACATATTCAAAGTGAGATATTCAGATACCTTCCTTCCTCGTCTTCGCATTGGAAAAGTAAACTGCCCATCATACCTAGATATATAACTAGAAAGTAGATGACTTAGGTTCTGCTAAAACGAAATTATAAATTCGACGCATGGTGTTACGTGGTATGTACGTTATATGGGTTTTTGATGCGAAGGGTAGTGCGAACATATATAGTGCCAGCTCATTACAGGAAACCGTACATGAATCATGATTGAACCGAGGAAGATCATTAGACGGGGACTCGTAAAAGTGGGGTCAATCCCACGCCCTTCAGCATACATGTAATTGCTCGTAAGCTGGATCCCTGACTATAAATACCCCGCGATATGCTCTACAAGACGAAACACAAGATCGAGCCTTTTTGTCTTCTAAATACTCTAGGCAATACTCAAACCACCAAAAAATAACTACCCACTCGTCACTATGGTGAAACTAGAACCTTTCGAAGTCGACCATGTAAGCGGCCTGCCACATACCTCTGAGAGAAAGACCGTGAACTAACACGACCTATCATAGTGGATTCTGACTCGGGACACAGGTCCCAAGTATAACTTGGCACATTCATACTCTCTCCCTGTCACAATCAATGATCTCAAATCGCTGTCCGAGAATACAGCAACAGACTATGATATTCTCGCCTCAGTTCGATCCACACCGATGAACTACGGCCCTTCCTTCACTGGATTGGAGCAGCTACGGGAAAACATTGCCAACCTATACTCAGACGATTCTTTAGTACCGATATCATCTGACAAGATCCTGACGACTCCTGGCGCATCACTGGCGAACTTTATTGTGCTCTTTGCATTAATTGGCCCTAGCGATCATGTTATCGTCCAGTATCCCACCTACCAACAACTATACTCCCTCCCAGCTTCCCTTGGCGCGCAAGTAAGTCTATGGAAGGCAAAGGAAAACGACAATTGGAACCTCGATATCGAGGAATTAGAACGCCTCATCCAGCCAAACACAAAAATGATCGTGCTGAAGTAAGACCTCATGCTCTCCCATACACAATATATAACGTCAGATGAGCTGATCAACCCTAGCAACCCACAAAATCCTACCGGCGCAATCATCCCCAGATCGAGCCTCGAAGAAATCATCCGAATCGCCAAAAACCACGCTATAACAGTCTTCAGTGACGAGGTATATCGTCCCAGCTTCCACTCCATCTCTCCGGGAGACCCGGACTACCCGCCCTCAGCCCTTTCCTTTGGTTACGAAAACACAGTCGTTACCAGCTCCCTATCAAAAGCCTACGCCCTCGCTGGAATCCGAATAGGATGGATTGCATCCCACAGTAAACCCATCCTCGACTTCTGTATCAATGCTCGCTCTTACGCCCTCATAACAGCCAGCCAAGTAGATGAACAGATCGCATCGTTCGCACTGAGCCCCTCCTGCGTCCACAATCTGGTGAAACGTAACACAGTGCTAGCAAAGAATAACCTTGGCATTGTTCAATCATTCATCGATGAATTTTCGTCGCGCTGTCAATGGGTGAAACCGGTTGCCGGACCAATTGGGTTCATCAGATTTGCCAGGTCTGGTCATCCGGTAGATGATGTGGCATTCTGCACAAGACTCCTAGAAAAGAAGGGCGTACTCCTCGTGCCGGGGAGAAAATGCTTCGGAGATGGGAAGAATTTCAGCGGCTACGTACGTCTTGGATTTGGTGGGGATCCGGAGGTTCTGAGGGCTGCGTTGGGTGCTTTGAGGGAGTTTATGCGCGAGGATTACGAATCCTTGCCCCTGGCAGATTGATCTTCTATCCACTGTTTATCTGAGAAGTTGATTTCCTCTTTTATGTTTATTTTTGCAATGCTGTATGCTCGTTAAATGCGGTACTTTCTGTGCTTGTTTGGATTAACTTTACCTATACATCAGGCTTGACTTTTGCAGATGACTACTAATAACATAAACACTGAAATTCATATGCAAGAAATCAATTACGAGTCTTCATACTAACACCAACAACATAAATAAGGCATGTAATCGGTTCCTTCAGGAATAATAGTAAAAAAGTGGTCCCCCAAAGAAACCAAATCATGTGACCACCCAACCCTAAGACAATATGAACAACAAGCATCACCTCACGAGATCTTCACTTAAACAACCACAACAACAAGCACAAACCCCCAACTCAACTAACTCCCCACTCGCCCACTCCTTCCTAAAGACCCTTTCCTCCTCATCCCCAATCCAAATATCCACCGTCGAACTCTCCCTCCCATCCTGCATTATAGCCCTAGGCTGATAATCAACCACCACCTTCCCCTCCAGCTGCCCAATATCTCCACAGTTGGGATCAATATGATCCGAATCCCCAAGAACTGGGTCCATCCGACCAACATTAACATACCCCACAACCTTCACACGGACACTGGGCAAGACCTCCCGGAGCGCGCGAGCGATGTCAGCTATCTGCACAGGATACTGCATGCACAGCGAGTTCCGTTGCTTCGGACTAAATATGAACGCGAGGGGCTCGTCGTCGTCTTTGATGATTTGGTTGCATGCCGGGGGTCCTTCGCGGAGGGTTCCATCGGAGGTGAGAAAGCTGAGGCCGTGCTTTATCGGGTGTAGGACGTCATCTTCGAAGATTACCGGGCCACGGATTGGGATGGTGCTCTGGGAGAAGGATGGGCCGTCCCAGAAATGGGAGTTGTAGATGCCTTTCTCCGTGATGATCATAACACTGGTGCAGCCGTGCAGGTTTATCACGCCTGTTGTGAAGGCTTCCTCGCGGAACGGGGTTACTTCGGAGGAGGCGGGGCTCCCGTGTGGAAGGGGCTTCATTCTACGGACCAGGGTGCTGAAATAGGACCAGAATGGTTCTCGTCTTTCTGGGGCGTGAGATTCCATGCTGGAGAAAAGTTGGGGGGAGGGAATCGAGGGATGGCAGTTGGATATGAAAGATGAATGGTAAGTAGCTAAAGCTGTGGCAAAGAGTCTAAGAAGATCTTGGATAGAAGAGATATAAGCTGAGTATGAGGCTGTCGTCCGTCTTTTAATATAGCCGATTTTAGTCTACCTCCGTTGGTTGTCCTTCTAGCCCACATCCAGCATATGCCTTTGTTTCCTTAAGCATGTGGCTAGATCTACGGCAGTTATTGTGGATTGTTGCCTGTCTTTATTGCCGTCCTTTGTTTCGATGCTGGCATAATTAACGAAGGTAGTTGGTATACTTATTCTTCTGTGCACAACGTAACTAGCCGTGCGTTCTACTATAAGGCTGCATAGTGTTGCGAAGTGGCTTGCAAACTTCTGCGTCTTCCAGTATATTGCCACATGACTTAGGTATTGCTAGCTGGATGAAGCTATGGATTCAATATGGATCGTCATAATGCCTACGTCCCATTCATTATTCTTTATTCAATTTGTTCAGAGGTTCCAAACAACGCATTATAGACTTGCGACAATGACCAAACCGGCAAGGACTACCCCAAGTTTCATCGTTGAGGCCCTCAACAATGGATCCATAGATGAAGTGGATGAACCGAGAGGGAGACCCTGTTTCACTGATATATACCTTGTGAATGGGGCTGATTCGTCGTTTACAGTGGTCTTGGAAACCAAAGCAACGATGAAAGATTCTTGGTTCTTTGTATAACCTCATAAGACGACAATCTAGGGGGGTTATGTCTCCAGATAGCTAAACTAGATAGTGTTAGAGCCTTCTTAAATCGAAATATCACATAATTCTTATACCAAACCACCCCCATCACCATAAATACCATTTTCATGAAGACCGCATAAAGCCTGCCATAAACATAACGCGACAACACCTTCACCCATAATTCAACCTACCCCTTCTTCACAAAAACCCCAGCAATATACGGCATGCAAGTCCTCCCAAACCACCTCTCGACCTCCACAGACTCCCATCCCCCATCTTCCTCCGCCGCACCCCGCAACGCCTTCTCCGTATCCCGATTCATGCGACAATCCCCAATATACCAGCTCCAGCCCAAGAACCCATAAACGGCCTGCATAGCCCTCGCAACAACAGAACCCTTCGCCGTACGCCACGGATTAACCACATGCTCCACGACGAGAATCTTCCCACCGGGCTTAAGCAAAGCATACAGATCCCGGACAGACTGTTCCAAATCCGGCACAGAGCAAAGCACACGGACGCAGAGGATCGTGTCGAAGACGCCACCAGTTGTCTTATCAAGTGCGGCAATACCAGCAGGCAGGAGGTCTTGTTTCTGGAGAACGGGGACGAGTTCCGAGGCAGCGACGCTACAGGGAAGAATGTGGTACTTTTCACCTACGCCTTCGGCGTCGGCCCTGGAGCGCAATGCCGCGTGAAGACCGTGGCAGGGCTCAGCGCCGTAGATTGCTTTGATGGCTGGCGAGCGTAGAAGGGGCATTTGGGTTCCTGTTCCCGGGCCGACGTCTAGGACTAGACCGGAGGCGTGGGCTATGACGGGCGGGATTAGGTCTGAGGAACATTGGACACCCGTTTGGGTTGGCGGGGGTGGGGGTAGGGATTCGACGGTGTCTTCGCGGTTCGCTGCGTAGCTCATTAGCTTGGCTATCTGATTGAGTTGATGGTCGGGGGACTCACTGCTAAAGGAGACCCAGAATCGGCCGAAAGCTTCATCACGAAGCCTCCCGGACTGGAGTAGTGGCGCGAGGATCTGGCCTCGTTTAAAGACCGCTTCCAGATTCACTTTGATATGAACTATGGGGCATATTAGCTTAAGCTTACTAGAAAATCGGTGGCGAGGGGAATTGTGTGCATATGGGTGTCTACGCCATCGGTAGTGTGGCGAGCTGCTGCTGTACATGTGGAAGAAAATCGTTCTACGACGCAATCCGCTGGACTTACATGATATGGCCCAGAGTAGAAGTTGGCCTGGTTCCAGTAGCGATGTGAGCCACACCTTAGTGGTAGGCTCATTGATGGAAGCCATTGTTTCTCAATGAACAGGGAACTGGAAAGCTGTAGCAGGCGGTTCCGGTGGAATGATCTGTTTGAACAAGGGCAAGAGAAGTGGGATTGGAGATGACATGTGAATCGAAAGTTCACAGAGTTCTCAATTGGCGATGCATGACTAATCCTCCGCCCTGCCGCATTGGCCATATTCAATTACAGCTTACAGGATATCTTATCCATGCACGGTACAATAGGGGTCAAAGAGTATGTGGGCCCCACGGTATGGTTTCGAATTCCTCAACGGTGTCTAGATCAGTTCCTGACATATAAAAACAGAGTCAACACGGACACATGGCGTCAATGGTCAATCTTGCTGTCATTACAGATTGCAGAGACTCGATATCAAGATGGGAGAAAAGAAAAGCCAAAAGGATGATGGACTAATGCAAGATGCATACAAGATGGAAGTAGTAGCAATAAATAAGGACCAAGCCTAAGTGGAACGAACGGCATCAATATATCAGCTTGACAATGTGTATCAACAAAGGAAAGGACTAAATCAATAATTCATTTTGCAAATATCACGAATGAATGACAGGAACAGTCCAGACACCTGAGTGGGGATAGATGCCAAAGGGACCACATCCCCAAAGATTAATAATGACTATACGTAACACGAGGTTCCAAGAAAGTGTGCTCGAAGGGTGGCAACTACCGAAAAGCAAAGGGGAGCCAGTAATAAAATGCTAACACGTGCGCTCATGAGATTCGCATGCTATGAGGTCGGGGAGGGTCGAAATGAAGGAGATGCGAGCGATGCATAAAGAAGGTCCATGGAGAGAAGGGACGCATGTTCACAATAGAGGTCGACAGGCTCAGTGATGAGAGTGATGCCGGTTGGCACGCGGGCTGTACCGACTTGTCCTGGAGAGTGAGCTGACATCATGCTTGCCTATATTACAAGTGTTAGCGGATAGGTCACAACAGTCCAACAGGGCATGCTCTTACCATCACAGCAAGCACGAACATTCTCAAGTCGATCTGTCTCTTGTTCTTGCCTCTCCATCATCTGCCGCAGGTCCTCCTCACTGTCACGGTCGTAGACACTGCCATCATGGATACTAGATGTCGCATAGCTAGGGGGGCCCTTTCGGCCGAAAGAGCCCTTGAGCGTAGTATTGAGAATGGTACTGAGTCGAGACGTGGAACTGTTCCTTTGATCGGAATAGTGAGACGGGGTGCTCAAAGCCGGAGAAGCGCGACCGGGGGTCCCTGCGCGGCGCAGAGAGAGGCCAGAACCCGCTCGCTGTTTCGGCCAATTTCGGGTTGTGCGACTCTGCGATGAAGAGATTGACAACCGTGGTCTCTGGCGTGAGCGAGATCCTGACCGGAACCCTGGGTTGAATTCATCAATGTCTTCCAGGTCATTGGTCTCCTCCTCGCCATTTTCTGACCGCAGCAAGAGATACGAGAGCGCATTGAACCAGGTCTCGTGCCTCTGACTAGTAGTTGCGGTGAATCTGATCCGGCGGCCAGGGCTGACAACCTCCAAGCTCCTGCAATGAAGACCTGGAGGATATGGGTTGTCATCGGCGACAACTCTCACGGCTTCAATGGGAACGCTCTTGGTTTTACGCTCCGACTTTCCAGCACTTTGAGGGTCCTGCTCACTCCAGTACAAGGTACGGGTATATGGATGAACCCAGAAGTAACGACGGTGCCTAGTGTTGGAAATCTCTCCTGAGACTGTTTTACGAGTATACTTCCAAAGAAATTCTCCAATCATGGTCTGGGTGATGGCTTGAATCATGCGTGGATCTGTACCGGAGCCATAGCCATACGGTCCGCCAGCCGGAGTGGAGTGTGTATTGAACCGCTCTTCGATCTCGGATGCGAACGACGAGACCGAAGACCTCCGGGACACCTGGCTTTCGCGCCTCACTCTAGCCCGCGAAGTAGAAGACCTGATAGAGCCAACCTGAGCGGCTGAATCATTTGGAGTGCGCGGGCGTGGAGCGCGAAGAGCGGAAGCCGGAGCAAGAGGGGGCGCCATGAGACCTGGCGTGGCTGGTTGTTGATCAAGCGATTTCTTCTCGGCAGTCATAACAGCCTCTTTATGTTCAGCAGGCAATGGGGGATGGCTGTGGACAGTAGAGGCCTGGCTGGCTGCGCTGCCTGGTCGCCAGTTGAGAGATGCAGCTGATGACTGATGCTGGGGATGGGGTCGCGCCCTTGGCGTGGCAGCAGGTGAGTTGCCTTGCTCCTTGGCTTTGTCACTGTCGGGGGGAGACAAAGGCCGAGCCGTAACACGGTCCATGAGAATCTGGTCGATTTGCTTAGAAGACAGTATCGTCTGAGCACCTTGATCTGCCTGGTTTGACGATCGGCGTCTTGCATGGCGTGGGACAGCATTGCCGGAGATAGCGCTCAGAGGCGAGGGGACATCCTTCTTCTGGCCAGTTGTGCCATAATCAGAGCTATCATTCGCTACATCTTCGACAACCACAATTGGCAAGGACTCTGAAGTGGACTTGTCGACCATAACACCTCTTGTTTGCAAGAGTGGTGCGTTCTCGTCCGATGGCAGGACTGCGGGAATGATGGCCGCAGCTGGAGTGGCCTTGACAGGGAGTGTTTCGACGGAGCGGATGGTGGAAACTGAAAATTGCGGACACGCAGGGGCAGGAATCTCGCGCTCCTTAGGTGCAATGGGCTCAGTGGATTCGGGTGGTATAAAGGTTACTGTCAAATCTGGTACCTCATGCTCAGCTGCAGCCTGACCCACAACAACTGTAGACTCCAGCTCTGGAACTGGTTCCGGTAGCATCGCCGTAACAGGTTCTGTGTGCTGTGAGAAGATTGTTGAAACCGCTAGGCCAGGGATTTCAGTGTTCATAGCACGCTCCGCGACTGAAACCGAAGGCTCGGGCACCGGCTCTGGAAGAGTCGCCATTACCGGCAAAGTCTGCTCAGAGAAGATTGTCGATACTGCCAGGTCTGGAACCTCGGTGCTCATGGCACGCTCAGTGACAGAAACCGGAGCTTCAGGCACGGGCACAGGCACGGGAACGGGCTCGGGAAGTGTCGCCATAACAGGCTCGGTATGCTCAGAGAAGATTGCGGAGTATACCAGCTGTGCAATATCTGTGTTCGTTGCCTGCTCTGCCAGGGAGATTGAAGGCTCAGGCACGGGCTCAGGAAGCGTTGCCGCAATAGGCTGAGTTTCTTCAGAGAAAATTGAGGAGACAACCACTTCCGGTGTGTACTTCGGCTCTGGCTCAGGTAGCTTGACAGAAACAGGTTCTGTATACTGCAAGGAGATGGCTGATAGAGTCATCTCCGCGGGTTCGGAAATGGGTGCAGCGATCGGCTCGGTTGAGCCTCCCACAACGTATGACATGCTCAACTCTGGCAGCTTAGGCGCTACAGGAACGGTATCCTGAGTAGAGATAGGAGAAACTTCGAGTTGTGGCAGCATAGCTGCGGGAACAGTGAGCTCCCGCTCCGCATCTGTAGGCGAAACCACCTTCGAAATGGCTGGCACACTCGACAGTTGATCGCCATTCACTTCAGAAGACGTCTGAGGGGAGGCCCATTGTGCTCCAGCATGCACCAACTCGGGTTGCTCCCTCATTCCAGCAGCAATCTCGGAATCCGAAGAAGGCGGTGTTGCAAGCACATTCGAGACATTCTTGTCGCTCACAACGGCTGGGGTGCTTGGTTCCCAGGGGTCAGTCATGACACCGGAGTCAACCATTGCAGGCTTGGGTCTAGTGTTCAATGTGGCCTGGGATGATCTTCTCGAATCAGGCATCGAAAGAATACGTGGGGTGGAATCAGCGTCGTGTTCTATCGGCGGGCCGAACTCTCCCTCCTCATCCTCCTCACCGTCAAGTTCTGCGAGTTCTGCAAACAGGCTCTGACCTTCGGAGTCCCCAGGTGTCTGTGTGAAGCTCGTTGCGGGGGACTCACGTGAACTAGATGGTCGGCTACTAGAGGCCATTGGAGCCTCTCCAGAGGGTCGAATCCTCCTCATCACACTCCTCTTGTTCCTGAGACGGTGCCGAGGAGTCGAAGTTCGACTTGGTGAAGGGAACATGTCATCGGAGTCTTCATCTTCTTCCCCTGAAGTGGAAGCAGTGCTCTGGTAGGATTTCCGGTCACGGGCTTTTGCCAGGGTTAGGGATGAGACACGAGCACGAGGTGTTAGCTGGATACGGTCCTCTGTTTCAGTTAGCTCATCGGTATCCGTACTGTCATCGGCCATGCTCTCGACGCCTGTCTGGAAAGCTTCGCTTTCTGTGGTCGCCTCCCGCTCGTTGGCGGTCTCGAAAGCATCGTCAGCTTCAGTAGCAGTGTGATAGGCATCACTAGGCTCGTCTGAAGACTGCAGTTCGGGGCGGCTTCGATAAGATCTCAAAGCCGCCTTGTGCGATGGACTTGTGTCAGTGGCATGGTCTTCCCAATCTGTTTCATGAACCTCCTCGATCTCCGTCATTCCTCTCCTTCCAGCACCGAGCAGGTTCGGCCTTGCAGCCTTGCGTGTATTATCGGGCTTGGTCTTCTGGCGCTTGTTGGATGGCCCAGCGGGGGCAACAGCTTCGCGACGCTTCTGTTCAACCTCGTCGCGCGCTTCTTGCAGCATGCGCTTGAGCTCAATCTTTTCGGTTTTCTCTCGGTGAATGGTGCTCTTCAGATTCTGGATCATACGGTGAGCATGGCCCAAGGAACTTCGCAATGTTTCTGTCTCCAGTTGGTTGTGTCGTGGAGTGAACTTATTAGGCGATGGCGGCGGGGAATTTTCCGGTGTCCCTCTGCCATCCTCATCAGAATCATCATCCCGGTGAACTTCCCGCACGGTCTCCGCTTCTTGCTGTCGAAGCCGCATAGCGACCGCTCTCGCAAGCTCTTCGTTCTGGGAGTTCAGCTCTTCAACCTTCTTTTGCAGTGCAAGCCTTTCCGCATCACCTGAATTCAAGTTCCTGCGCAGGAGGTGGATTTCAGCGTCGTTCGCTTTCTGTGCCGCCGTCTGGTCCT